GTTTGTATGTATTGTATGAATATAATATACAAGTTTCACTTTTTAAATGGAATTACTGAAATAAATCTACTTTTTCATGATATTCTAATTTTATGACCAGCACCTGTAATATGTTATACAAAAGCATGTCACAACAGCAAGTAAATTGTTAGGAATTGCATTACACAGTACAGAGAGCTTTTGCAAGGAGAGTGTGTTCAGCAATTCAAAAAGAATATGATTGACAAAATCCACCCCTTGCTTAGTGCTTCAAACTTCAACCATCTGGGAGAAGGTACTGTCTTCCTGCACTTAAATCAGTTACAAATTTTCATTTGTTCTACAAGCTAGTGTGTCAAAATATGTGAATTTATAAAGTGTAAATAAAGAATGCCTGCTGGTCTTTGATTTACTGGTATATCTTGTGTTGTAGCTTTATGAAAGATTGTGTAAGATGCTTGGCAGTGTGTGAGATAAATACTTGTTCTTATACCACAAATCAATTCCACCATGGAAAGAATAATGATTTTTATCATTATCAGATCACAAAAACAGCACTCATTTCTCAGTTCTTGTTTTGTCCATGAAATGAACTCATCATCAATCAAATTTTCTTATTTAGATTCTTACCATGTATGAAAAATTCATGTGTGCTGCTTCCTGGGAAACAGGAAGTGTGAGAGAGGTCCATCTGATGGACACAACCAGATCAACAGTGGGAGTTTGATGAAATGGCCCAACATGAAGGCACTGCAGACTGCCGGACCAGATGGATTCCCCTGCAGGGACTTTCATAGGAGCAGTACTGATTGGACTCATACAGCTTCTCCCTCCCTGCCTGTCAGTCCTCTCAGAGGTGACGAGAAGTTGGGGTGAGGGTGGGTGGCTGCCACACTTGTCYCCTCACGCTTGGATAAGATTTTAGGGAGGACGCTGTCATCAGCCTGTCAGCAAGCTGGTACTGCTTGTGTTTTTCTAAAGCTGAGTGTATTCTCTGCAAACGACAACAAAAACACACCACAGTTTATCAAACACACTGTAGTAAAGCAGATTTTCTGCTTCATCATGCAGTTSTGCTTGTATTTTTAGCTTCAGTTGTGCTGGACTGTTGTTTTGGCTTTAGCTTTGGAGTGTTGTACTGTACAAAAACTGCTTTGTTGTCTTTTTCCAGTATAGACAAAGTGAAGGTTCTGTCTCTGATGCTTCACGCCGCAGACATCAGTCATCCTGCAAAAGCTTGGCCACTTCACTACCACTGGACTCACAGTCTGATGGAAGAGTTCTTCAGACAGGTACACAACTATACTTTTTCAAATGTAAGGATCTATTTAACATAATACAATCTCTAAGTTTTGTCTGCACTAATATTCTTAGACAAATTCAAAACACAACACTCAAACTTGTCCTCATAAACCTAGATAAGTTGTAAAACTGGAGGCTCCTTTAATAATAATGATTCTTTATTAGACCCTGATGGGGAAATACATTTTTGGTATTTGTCCCTTCACACATGGAGCACAGAAATGCCAGTAAGGGCAGCAGCTGAGCCTTTTATAGTGGGACAAATAAGGGTGGGTGGGTGGACACTTCACCTTATCCACACAAATTTWAAAAGCCAGTACAGTACAGGGATTCAAAATTGCCAGCTCCTGATCACATCTCCATTCTCTAATCTCTCACATTAGAAGGAGTCTATACTGGCAACACAAACCATTCATTAGAACTGTTTAAGTGTGTAAGAGGTAAGAAAGATGCTATGGTTTCATATGAGTAAAACATAAGTGAATAATAAAGGAAATAGGAAGTCCTGTTAATAAATAAACTTTTCTCTAGAACTACAAACAACCATTTGTTTTTGGTATTTTAGGTAAAAGATGGGGTATGAAAAYCACATACTGATGTAGGGGAGAGAGCTTAGGGTGAATTAAGCTTTTCCTACATCTCTCATAAACAAGGTTATGAGGAAAGTTTTACCAAGGTATTTTCTCATCACTTTTAAAATCTTGACTGTGCGAAGTGAAAAGTGACACAATAAGTGAACGTTCAGACGAGTTCAAGTTGATTCATGAAGACTATGAAGACTATTATAAGACTATTTGAAGGGCAGTGTCAGCTGTTTCACCAGATCGATAATGTGGGACCCGCTCACCGTGTTGCATTTATAAACAAATTCACTGGTTGACGTCCAGCCTCCGTCACTTTCGGACAATTTATTCAGAATATATTCCACATTGTTGCGACTGCGCTGGGGCAGATGGCTCAGAACATCATGC